TGCAAGTAGATCCTATTGCCGCATTCCCTACACTGGGATACCCAGTATCAGACACCACATTGAAGGACATGTTACTCTCTTTAAGGGCATCCCTTCAAACAGATCTATTTTCATATATCCATAAGGTTGCTGCCGAAGTACAAGATCTGGGAGAGAGATTGGGACATATGGATAAGATGGGAGAATATGTCCACTCTTTAAACTCATTAATAGATGCCCACGAGGCCCAACAAGATAAAATGGCATGGATTAAAAATAAGCTTGCAGATCTGGAGGATAGATATCAGCCCAATATCTTAAAGATTCATGGTATACCTGAAGATATTCAAGCGTCTCAACTACCACACTATACTCGTGACCTCTTCCATAAAACTGTACCAGAATTATCCCCTGCAGACCTAACTATTGATAGGGTCTACAGGATTCCTAAGCCATCTTTTCTGCTTGCACACATCCCGAGAGATGTTTTACTGAGAATCCATTTTTAACAAGCCAAATAAAAAATCCTAGAGGCGTTCTATAAAAAAGAGAAGATTCCAGATGGCGCAAAATTCCATTTAAAATCCATCCTGTATCAAACGAGAAACCCATGAATCCCAAGCAAATTGCAGATGCGTTTGCTGACTATTATGAGAGTCTCTATGATTTAAAAATGACCGAATACCCTTCAACCCTCTGCCAGCCATATAGACCTGTTTCTTGCTAAGCTGAATATACCCTCCCTTACTGAAGAGCACTTACACCAACTCAATGCCCCTTTCACGACATCTAAAATCCTTCAGGTTATCAAATCCCTACCTTCCAGGAATCCCCTGGTCCAGACGGTTTTATGAATTAATATTTCAAAACCTTCGGTCCACATTTAGCCTCCCATCTTGTTATTTATTTACCACTGCACAACAACAACACATATTGAGGGCACATATTGTCACGCTTCCTAAACCTGGGAAAGATGCCAGTTTACCTTCACACTTTAGACCAATGTCATTGTTGAACTCGGATATCAAAATATATGCCAAGCTTTTGGCACGTAGACTGATGAAAATTATGCCATACCTAGTACAACCGGACCAAACAGGCTTTACAAAAGGACATCAAGCGTCAGACGCGACGAGACGAATAATCAAAATTATAGATTATGCTGAGCGCTCCCGAACTCCCTCTCTGCTTCTTTCTATTGAAGCAGAGAAGGTGTTCGATAGATACACTGGGGATATATGACTCAAGTTCTGGAAATATTTGGTTTTCAGGTGCCAATATTTTCAGCGGTATTGGCATTATACTCCACCCCTTCAGCCAAAGTATACACTTCCAATCTATTATCTAAGACCTTCAATATCACTAATGGCACAAGACAGGGATGCCCACTAACGCCCCTCATCTTCAATCTCATGAATGAACCGCTGGTGGAATCCATTAGAACTAGTACTTCCGTCTCGGGCTTCCGTTTCTACTACAAAACTCACGTCATTCGTTTATTTGCCAATGATGTGATATTGGCGTTAACTAACCCTATACAATCATTACCACAAGTACATTCCATTCTTTCACAATTTGGCAGAATCTTAAACTACAAGGTGAACTTTTTGAAATCTCTCATTTTAAACCTATGAATTTCTGTATTGGCCAAGACAACCTTAGAAACATCCTTTCCATATACCTGGTTCTTTGGGGTCTGCTGTATCTAGGTATCATTTTAACCCCTTCCACCGTTACTTTAGCAGAATCTAATTTCCAGCCTCTTATTAAAAAGCTCAGCAATGAACTTACATGCACAGCTAAATTTGAGCTATCCTGGACTGGCAGACTAGCGACCAGGGGTGGACTGACAACTCAAGGGGCCCCCGGGCAATAGGGGATTATGGGGCCCCTGTGCCCTCGCCCACACCCAAAAAAAAGCCTATGAAAAAGCCAATGAAAGGTACCAGGGGAACCTAATGGGGTCCCCTACTGACCCCGGCCCTCGGCAATGCCTGAGTGCTCGAAAGGTCAGTCCACCCCTGCTAGCGACTTTTGAAATGTTATACCTCCCACAAATTATTTATCTTTTCAGAACTCTCCCCATTCCCCTCAAATCATCATATTTATCTTCCTTTGAATCCCTGCTTAAAAAATACATATGGAACCAGAAACAGGCAAGATGATCATACACCCAACTTATAAAACATAAATCAGTAGGAGGCATAGGGCTAGTGAATGTTAAATACTACTACAGAGCTGCTTTGTTGACACAGATTAAGCAGTGGTTTCACTCGTCCTCTGAACACTTGTGGGTGGACATAGAAACAGTATCCACACCAACGCATAACCTCCGCAACCTATTACTAGCTGATTTATGGGTTCCACAGCCCTTAAATAAATTACCTATCACGGTTAAAGCCTCACTACTGGCTTGGAGATTAGTTACTAAACCTCAGATTGCCATTTCTTCCATTGCTGACATATCTATACCCACGAATGTACTAAATATTCTTCTTCCACATCTGGCGGATACTGACTGGTCTTGCTATGAGCTACACAACGTAACAGATTTTTATGACCAGGCCAATCTTAAAAGTCTGCGAGACCTACAACAAGGGAACACATTTTTATTGTCAATACCCTTTAAGTTGTTTAGTATTCGCCATTTTCTGTTGAAATCACCTCCCCCCCTTTTGCAACTAGACACTAGCATTTGGTAATTTTATAATAACCCACTTAAATCTACAAAAGGAATTACCTTTTTCTACTCCCTTTTCCAAAATAAGTTATCTTTCCATAAAACCGGCTCTATGATGACGTGGGAGATAGATCTCCAAAACTCATATACTCTGCCACAATGGTTACATGTATTTAAATACTTATATGCTATATCTCACTGTGTTAACTACTGGGAACTCACACAAAAAATAATATCCAGATAGCATCTCAATCCATACCGTATAGCCCATTATATATCAGGAGGCTCTCCTTTGTGTTGGAGAGGCTGCGGCCAAGTGGGTAATCTCTTACATATCTTCTGGTCATGCAAGAATCTTTGTAGCTTCTGGTGAAGTGTGCTCCAACTCCTCTCCGGTGTCACAGAAATACTGACTAAACCTGCACCAGATTTAGCAATCTTAAATTTAAGAATTGATGGCTTCCCTGTCATGTTTCGCAAAGTAATTACTTGTATACTACTAGCTGCTCGTTTGACTATAACAAGACATTGGAGGGGAGACAAGGCGCTCCCAATTTGTCAGAAGTAATTACTATTACTCAATCTATCTACTCTTTTGAGAGACTGTTAGCATTCAGGTCAGACAATATACAATCCTTTGACAATGTTTGGAAATATTGGAAAACTTCATATTTGAAGGAGGGAGTCACAGATACCCCTGGATCCAGCTCTAACGGATGAAACATAATATTATTATACTGCTGGATGATTTATTCTATTTCCATCTATTGATGTATGGTCATGTGTAAGCTTTACGAGGCTACTTTTCTTCTCTTACTTCTCTTTCTTTCCTTTTCTATACATTTCCTCTATTTTCTATTTTGCCCTCTGTTGTTACAGGGGTTTGTATTTTTGTACACTTGAAAAATTCAATGAACATTATTGAAAATAAATAAAATCCTGGCTTTTACTGACTCCCAAAAGGACCTTGCAACTCCACTGTTATGACCAACACACAGGGGCGGACTGACCATTTGAGCACTCGGGCACTGCCCGAGGGCCCGGGATCAGTTGGGGGCTCCATGAGATGTCCCTGGTACCTTTCATTGGCTTTTTCATAGGCTTTTTTGGGTGTGGGTGAGGACCAGGGGCAGACTGACCATTTGGAAACTCGGGCACTGCCCGAGGGCCTGGGGTCAGTAGGGGGCCCCATGAGATGCCCCTGGTACCTTTTTCATAGGCTTTTCTGAGTTTGGGCAAGGACACAGGGGCCCCATGATCCCCTATTGCCCGGGGACCCCATGAGTTCTCAGTCCGCCCCTGGTGAGGTCACAGGGGCCCCATGATCCCCTATTTCCCGGGGGCCCCATGAGTTGTCAGTACGCCCCTGCCAACACATTTACTGCATAACTAAGCCATATAAAAATCAGCTGACACTTGAAGAAGTTGTAATTTCGTTGTAGTTTATTAATCATATCTAAGACAAATCTGATATTTTTTCCTATAAAAAAAAGAGTATGACTTAAACACCCATAACTGTAATTTTCATAAATCTGACAACATGACTGAAATGAAAAATAAATGCATTATGATTGCCAAAAAAACCACATTCATTTATCAAAAGATAAAACTAATTGACGACCTGGGGGCACACAAGAAACGACTTGGGCACATGGCTGGGGTGCCAAGGGTTGTTTACTGCCCTGATCATCACTACCTATATGACCTTTCTTCTCAAAAACTCTTCAACTATTTTATGTAGAGCTTGTCTAATCTCATGGTTCCTCAGACTGTATATGATAGGATTGACCAATGGGTTCACTACAGTGTACAACAAAGAACTGTACTTGTTTAAGGAAGGTGACTTCTCATCAGCTGGAGTCAGGTAAATGGTAATTATGCACCCATAATATGCAGCCACAGAGATCAGGTGGGCACTACATGTAGAAAAAGATTTTTTCCTGCCAGCGGAGGATGAAATTTTGAGAATGATGATAAAAATGTAAATGTATGTCCCAATGATAAATGTAAGAGTACAGAAAAAGAAAAAGCTAGAACATATAAGGTCAAACCATTGTAAGATAGATGTATCTGATGTGGACAATTTCACGACTGGACCCACATCACAAAATAAGTAATCAATTTCTTGGAGGCCACAAAATTCAAACTGAGCTATGAAAATAATTTCAGTTGAAGCTAGAGTCCAAGTCAATGCCCAAGAACCAAAACCCAACAGAAAGCAGATTCTACGATCCATAATTAAACTGTAATGTAAAGGATTAGAAATAGCGACATATCGGTCATAAGACATAATAGCAAGGAAGAAACATTGCACAAACCCAACATTTAAAAAGGAGTACAGCTGTATGATACAGTCATCAACAGACATTTTTTTCTTTGTCTTTAATATAACCTCTGCCATCAGTGGTATGACAAACGTGGCCAGGAGGACATCTGCGAGAGCAAGGTGCTGAAGAAAGATGAACATTGGAATTTTGAGATTGCTATTGGTTGACACTAGAAGGATGATTAGAATGTTGCCGATCACTATTGCCATGTAAATTAGAAGTAAGACACTAAAGAATAGAGTTTTGAAGTTTTCTAGACCTTGTAATCCAAGAAGATAGACCTCTGTGACTTTTGTTTGATTGTCTTGACACATTTTAGGAAGCGTGACCCATCAGGAAAGATACCAACCAACAGAAGTTTATTGATAACATAAGAAGAGAATGTCTAAGACATAAGTCAATGAATTTCTCACGTCAACTCACATTCATACTTACACATACTAGGGACAATTTAGAAATGTAGCCAATTAACCTACCAGCATGTCTTTGGAGTGTGGAAGGAAACCTGCACAGGCACAGGAAGAACATGCATACTCCATGCAGGTGGTACCCTGTTTAGGATTTGAACCAACAACTCTAGTGCTGTGATGCAAAAGGGCTAACGACTTAGCCACTGTGCTGCCCCCCTTGCAGAGTCCTCTGTTCCTTCTGGGCCATGTAGCTGAGATCTAAAAGGACTTCAGATGGAGACACGTGGAACCTTGAAACAGTTGACCCAGATTTTCTCTCGCTCACATTCACTGCAAGACAGAAAAAAGACAGTTATCAAGAATTGCATTACCAAGCAATTACCATTAACCAGACAAAGATCATTGCCACTTGTCTGTCTGATGTTAAAATGGTTGTAAACCTCATAAATAGAAAATCAACAAAGCATACCCCTTTTTAGTGTGTAATGGCTGCAATCCAAACATCCTAGTGTAATTTCTCTCTGAACTCTCCTTCTTCTGCTAGCTGCATGAATTATTTCTGACAAGTTATGCCGACACCACAGAATCCCTGGACAGCTCCACCCCCTCCAACACAGAGAAGGTGATTGACAGCCTCAGTTGTCCATGTTTCCCTATGAGACTATGTAGAGAGGGGGTGACGTCAGATCCAGGGTTGTCTTAATGCATGGGCATCTCTGGGCACTGGGCACACCATGGGGGCCCTATATTAATTTTGCATTACATCATACTTGCCAGCTGTCTTGGATTTGCCAGGACAGTCATACTTTACTACAAATCTGTCCCAGTATGGCCTTGTCCTGGAACATGTACTGTGTCCTCCTGATCCCAGTATTATGCCCTCCTGATCCTCGCTGTACTGTGCGCCTTTGCCTTTAGAGTAGATGCATAAATTGGGGGTGTCTGGTAGGGGCCCCATTGCATTCCTTTGCCCAGGGGCTCCTGATGCTTTTAAGATGGCCCTGGTCAGATCCCACACCTCTGCCTTCTGGAGCTGAGAACCTTCTTTCCTGACACCTATGATTAGCTTAGCGACTGCTTTATCAGAGAGTTCACACCAACCATTAGCAGTCTAAAAAACACTCAATGGAATTTGGGGTGCGGATCTCAATGCCTGCTCTGTCCCTACAATAAATCGAGACGGAGTCATCGCTGGCTGCTGAGAACTTGAAGCAACTTCTTCTAAACGCAGTTGTATCTTTAATATTTAAACAGAAAAGGAATCCTGGCAGGTAGGTAGGTTTAGCCCACTAAGTTGCTATACCCATATGGAAGAGTAAAGTGTGTTTTTGTGTAATTCTTACACTTTAACATCTGGCAGACAGAAGTTCTTGGCTCACCCCTCCCCCTCTTGGCAATATAATTGCTAAGATCAATTGAATGTAGCAAGATAGCATGGAAGAATAGGGGACAGGGAATCATATGCATTGTTAACCTTTTATTACTGATGAAGAGCACGTTTTATTGGGTGAATTATAGTATGTAACTGTGGGATTAGTTATTGTTGTATGTCAGCCTTTCTCAACCTTTTTAACATGGAAGAACCCCTTAAATAACTTTCAGGGAACCCCTGCTAATAAATACTATGTCTACAGTTGATGGAACATTAGTGGATGGTCAGTGAAAAAAATGCTCATTACACTTGTGATACTTGTGAAGAAGCCCCCCCCCCACCCCCTTTCCCCATAGATAGGCACAAATATCAATTTTGCCAGAGGGAACTTATATGAAAGGTAGAAATAGCTCATTCAAAAGCAAAAAATGTTGCGCTGTAACTATAAGTCCAACATATCCAATATAATTGTTATCCAGTGATATGGAAACTTCAAATCCCTTGAGATTCTACCACCAATATATAAAATGACAGCCTTTTATCCAATGAACAGACCTCAAAGCTCCAGAGGTCAATTCACACACCACGCAAGTGCCTTGGGATGACTGGGAACCACATGGCACACCAGCATTATAAAACCATTTTTACATTTTATTAGCTACAATGAGAGGCATTCACATTAAACAGCAAAGTATACAAGCAAAAACAGATAATCCAGCCAATGCTCCTACATACAAAAGCAGATCCTGAACTGTTCTTTTCCTGAAAGCCGTCAGTCGTTGCGAGTTAGTAGCAGCTTCCCTTTATGGGTGAGGAACTAGCAGTCCCTCAAAAATCAGCTTAACTTCTCATAGCTACATGCAGAGATGTCTTCTCTCCCCCTGTAGAGCTTCTCCCAGCTCCACAGCCTGCAAACACTACCAGCTCTCCTGCTTTCCTGGAAGATCTCCCAGGACAAGGATTAAGGATTGATCCCAGCGCTGTCCTTAGAAAGCTTGATACACATGGCAGTCTTTCCCCTTGTAGATCCCAGAGAGTGCTACTGTACACACTCTATCCTTTCTGCTCCCTGCTGCTCCAGGTCTCAATCCCATTCATGCCTTACAGCGAATGTCTCCCCCCGAGCCTGCCTGAGCGCAGCCTTGAGGCAGCCCCCCAGACCTAGGGGACCCCTTTCAGGCACTGACAGTCTCATCTGCACCAATCTTCCAACCAATTCCTCTGTCAGCCTGACTCTCCCATATTTATGGACTAGTCCACCACTCTACCAGGGCCTTCAAACCTGGAACTGGCCAAAAACATGCAGAATAGGTCTCCACCCCTTCCTGCTTACTGACTTCTCGAAGGTTCTATGGTCCTCCAGAGTCAGGAGGAGGCAATAGATCCACAACCTGTTACGTCACCCAGCTGACCTGCAATAACCTGACCTCAATCACAGACTCACACAGTTACCATGAGTCATACACAATGATTTAACCTACTATACACTACACTATTCTAGTAGCACACTAGAGGGCGATATACATGTTTTTATGCATAGCAGTGAATGGAAGTATAGCTATATTTAATTTTATGATATTATTTATTACAGAATGACAGTATATTTCTTTAAATCTTTGATTTTCCCACTGGCTTGTATGTCATTTCTGCTCATACAAGCTGGTAGAAGGAACCATTGCACGCAGCCAGTTAATGTATTTAACTCCTCTTGTAGGGTCACACAGGTGCAGCAGCAAGCTAGCAGTGAAGTGACTGTGTTTTAAGACACGGGTTATCATAAAGGTAAGTACAGGTGCTCTTTTTTACAGTGCTGCTGATTTTGATAAGTGACCCTGTACAGTAGTAGCAGGCAGGGGCGGACTGACAACTCATGGGGCCCCCAGGCAATAGGGGTCCTTGCCCAAACTCAAAAAAGCCTATGAAAAAGGTACCAGGGGCATCTCATGGGGCCCCCTACTGACCCCGGGCCCTCGGGCAGTGCCCGTGTTTCCAAATGGTCAGTCCGCCCCTGGTAGCAGGGTCTCTATATCCTATTTTCTTCTACATGATTAGACGTGCTGCACAGGGACATGTATCATTTAATAAAGCCCCTGTGTTTTTTAAATGCATGCAAAAATCTATTTGAAATCAGAAAAAGTTAACACAAGGTAACAAAACCCATTTCTTGCAAAAATTGGTTTCATGTACTAAGGCCAAATGTCGGCATTGTTGTACATTATATATCACAGTTTAATGTGTGTTGAGTTAAGGTGAACTATTCATCAGAATGGGCTTCATAATGCACGAAAAAGATGCATGTGCTAGTTCTGGCAGAAACACATTGATATCAAGGGATGCTTAGTGTGAACTGGTAAAAAGGGTCCCAAAAGGCTTCTTGCCAATTCATAGTGATGGCCTCTGACCCCCAAGCAGATAGATAGACTTATATACACTAACTTCAGACATACACTATATTGCCAAAAGTATTGGACCAACCCTCCAAATCATTGTATTCAGGTGTTCCAACCACCTCCATGGCCACGGGTATATAAAATCATCCCCTAGGCATGCAGACTGCTTCTACAAACATTGGTGAAAGAATGGGTCGCTCTCAGGAGCTCAGTGACTCCAAGCGTGGTCCCATGATAGGTTTTCACCTGTGAAATAAGTCAATCCGTGACATTTCCTGGCTACTAAATATTCCACGCTCAACTGTTAGTGGGATTATAACAAAGTGGAAGCCACTGGGAACAACAGCGACTCAGCCACCAAGTGGTAGGCCACGTCACATGACAGAGCGGGGGTCAGCGCATGCTGAAGCGCACAGTGCGCAGAAGTCACCAACTGTCTGCAGAGTCAATAGCTAAAGACCTACAAACTTGGTGTGGCCTTCAGATGAGCCCAACAACAGTGCATAGAGAGCTTCATGGAATGGGTCTCCATGGCTGAGCAGCTGCATCCAAGCCTTACATCACTAAGTGCAATGCAAAGGGTTGGATGCCATGGTGTAAAACACGCCGCCACTGAACTCTAGAGCAGTGGAGATGTGTTCTCTGGAGTGATAAATCTTACTTCTCTGTCTGGCAATCCAATAGATGTCCCTGGGTATGGCATTTGCCAGGAGAACGATACTTGTTTGACTGCTTTGTGCCAAGTATAATGTTTCACGGAGGGGGGGGATTATGGTGTGGGGTTGTGTTTCAGGAGCTGGGCTTGGCCCCTTAGTTCCAGTGAAGGGAACTCTTAAGGTGTCAGCATACCAAGACATTTTGGACAATTTCATTTTGGGAAGAGTTTGGGGATGGCCCCTTCCTGTTCCAACATGACTGCACACCAGTACACAAAGCAAGGTCCATAAAGACATGGATGGGCAAGTTTGGGGTGGAGGAACTTGACTGGCCAGCACAGAGTCCTGACCTCAACCCCATAGAACACCTTTGGGACGAATTAGAGCGGAGAATGTGAGCCAGGCCTCCTCCCCCGACATCAGTGCCTGACCTCACAAATGTGCTTCTGGAAGAATGGTCCAACCTTCCCATAGACACCCTCCTAA